GGAATGCCAGCTTCCCCGCTTGCTTGTGTGATGTAAATAAGTGTAAATTTCCTCTACCAAAGGGTGGCTTTTGAAAGCCCTTTCTGCTCCTGCAGCCCCTGTGAGGTCTCCCTAAGTGCCGGTGCTGGCGTTGCCCCTGGTTCTCCAGGCAACAGAGGTAAACAAATGCTATTTGAACTCAGAAGCTGCTTGTTCTGTCTCCTTTCCTAAAAGTTTTATGTTTCTTTTTTTTTTTAAGTTATTTAATTTTATTTATCATCATTAATTTGATCAGAGAGAAAGAGAGAAAGCAAGCTTCCAGGTCCAGGACTTGAACCACAGTCAGCCATGTGGAAATCCAGCGCCCCAACCACCATGTCACCTGCCTGCCCCCAAAGTTTTAGGTTTCAAAGTGACTTGATAGATTCTGGAAGGGTTTGCCTCCCTTTCCTCCCCCTCCCTCAGCCCACCTACTCTGACATCCTCTAGGAAGAATTCAGACTTCCATGGCCACTGTGAGAGCCTCTGCCCAGGGTGAGTGCCTTCTGAGCTGTGAAGTTTGGGGTTTTACAGACTGAATTCTGGGAGTAGCGTCTGGATAGTGGTTTGCAGGTGTGGTGTCTGTTGGAAGTGGGAGGGTGAGAAGGTTGAGGGGTTGGCCTGACTAGATCTGACCAGAGAGACAGAGACAGGAAAAGTCAGAAAGCAAGCCTGCAGGTCAAGGGCTCAAACCAGGGCCGGCCATGTTGGGAGTCCAGTGCCCCAACTGCCAGCTATTTACACACACACACACACACACACACACACACACACACACCGGTGCTCTTTTAAATGCCAGGGCTTTAGGGCTTCTCTTCTGGATGCCAGAGCATTGGGTTTGAGAGGTACCTGTCCTGGCGCAGTGCTGGAAGACTCAGGGTGGACTGGAGCTGGAGGGATGCTGTGCTTACCTGCACCTGAGTGGCGTGCAGTGGCTCCCAGTTTCAGCAGACCGGCTAGTTTTTAGCAGCAGAAGCAAGGACAGAACCATTTTGTCTTGTTTAACTCTACCTTGGACAGATGAGGCTGTATTGTCCTCGCCAACTTTGTTCAGCTCAGCAGACTCCAGAGCCAGGTGTGGCTTGGGTGGTCTGTGTGCATTTTACGCATTTTTAAGGATAATCTTCTGAACAGGTCAGCTGAAGACATTGCTGTCATCTCCTTGCTGTGGGTCATAGGACCTACCACAGTCACAGTCCCGCCTGGGGCCGGCCCTTGTGGACTCCTTGCGGAGACAAGTGCTTTGTGGCTGCTGCTGTCTGCCAATAAGCAGCAAGTCAGTGTGCTTGCCTTTATGCCATGAGTTGGTGTTAACAGGGTAAAAACTTTGCTTCCACTGCCTGTTAGCGTCTCGTCTGCTCTGAATTCACCCAGGACTCCACCTAGTGGCGGGACTGGGTAGCTGCAGGCCCCATGGGCAATGAGGACAGACCTAGCAGGTGAACCGAAACCACTGGACTTCAGACTGGGAGCCTGAAGGGAGGCAGTGAGAAGAGCAGAGTCCAGATAAGACCATGCTAAGAAGTGCTCACGTGGGGACAAAAGGCCCTGGTCAAGCCGAATGTAGAAAGTGACTCACAGGGTAGTCAGCTAGGAGGGAGGAGAGGCTGCTTTTAGTATTTGCTAAAAGGGGTTTGTCAAGTTTTCAGTGTTTGAGTGGACTTAACAATCTCACTTGATGCTTTTTGTGTTAATATCCTACCCGAGAGGTGGATTTTTTATAAAACCAATTTTAATTTTATTTACTTTTAAAATTTGCTGTGGGGCACATGCACTCAGCCCAGAGAGAGAAAGAGAAAGCAAGCTGCCCGGTTCATCCATGTGGGAGTTGAGCGCCTTAGCCTCCAGGCCACCTGCTGGTCCTGAGAAGTGCATTTTAAGGTGGGAAGAATGTGTGGAAAACACAAAGCATTCATATTCTCACAGGTTACAGTATATGTGAAGGGGAGAAGGTCTCATTTTATTTATATCCGTCATCCCTGTGCTTTTAGAAAAGTTATTTAATTAATTAATTTTTAAATTTTAACTTGACCCAAGGGACAGAGTGAGAGAGAGAGGGTGGGAGGGAAAGTGAGAAAGCAAGCCATCAGGTCAGGGACTCGAACCACAGTTAGCATCCTTAACCACCATGCTACCTGCTGCCCCCACAAGAGAATACTTCATTTTATTTGTTGTTACTTTTTTATTTTTGATGATAGGGAAA